TTTTATATTAGTCACTTTGAGGTTTTGTTCTTACCGGATGGCTGACACAACTTTGGTGTGCTTTCACAGAGGTTTTCGAAGGGTTCCTTAAGTTAAGTGATGTCTGTTGTGCGTGTTGGTTATTCCAAGGCATCAAAAAGGGTGGATACAGCACTGTAAAAAATATGAATGGTTCTCCTTGCATTTACCACAGCATAATCCACACAGAATTCAGTGCAAGGTGAATGCCTTTTAATGCCTGTGTGCATTAAGATAACAGCGTTTTACCTGAAAGGCGCGTGTGATTTGAGTCTCATTTCTAAGTTTGACCACGACTTGTTGTGTGGAAGAGGTTTGTGAATATCTAAAGATTTTCATTATACTTTTTGATAATTTCTGTAGTTATTTCTATTGTATTATATTTTATTGTATTTTAGTCAAAATCGCTCTAGTTGGTGAGCAAACAAGAAAATATGATGTTTCACAACTCAAAGTGGCTTTATAATAAAATATAATACCGTTTCATCTGTTATGTTGTTTTTACGTTTTTATCCACGAGTTGATTTTTTTCTGGATTTTTTTCAGTATTATCTTTTTTTCATCTAGTTTTCCATCTTGCATATGAACATTTCTTTTTTTTTTCGTCAGTTGATACGCATTCTTGTATGTATTCACTTTGCTTCTCTTCAGATCCGCTTTCTTGCATTGCAGCACTGTTTTCTTCATCATCTGCTTCGCTTTCTTGCATGTCAGCACTGTTTTCTACTATACCAGTTTTGAAACTTGAAAACTACTTCCTTTTTCTGCCCTGCCTTTCTGTTGAAGTGTTGATRGTATTTGTGTCATTGCTTTGGATGCTTTTACACTTGATTTTGTGGAGAGCCTGTAGTGCTTTTGAGCTCGGAATGGTCAAGTAGATAGATTATCACTCGGACCGTTCTTCTTCTTGAAAACTATAGTTACTGCTCCTTTCCGGAAGTCATTTGAGGTCACAGATTTTTCGATTTTCGCTTTTTGCCAAACTGACTTTCAAATATTGGAAATTTGATTTGACTGCATTGCCTTTCCGTTCCATGAACGAAAAACCCTTTGAGTCTCACTTCTGGCAGGTAAATCTTGAGCCAGCTGTGGAGGGTCATACTAAGAACAAGATTGGCAGTACCATTGCAATGCGAGGTCTAGGTCTAGGTAATAGTATCAACTAGAGAAAAGAAAACAGAGAATAGTTATATTTTATAGCTTGTTCTTTGTCCTGATTGGCATATTTAGGTTCACTGATCAAGATTGTCAACTCTTGAATGATATTTTTTTTATGTTTTAATTACTTGAGCCATCTTAAAAAATGTTAAAATTCAAATGTTTTCGACTATCAAGTCATCTTCAGGTGGATTATGGAAATTAGCTATTGGTTAGATTGTAATAAACCCTTAGTTAATTCCCATTTGGAACAGTTTTGCAATGTACATGGTGTTTTGTTTAGTTAAAGTGCAACTGAACCCTTTTTACAAGGAATTTTGATCAATTCTCTATATATTTTTAAASAACATGCAAAAAGAATTTTTTGAATTGGTGTAATTTTCGATTTTTAAATACGATTTGAAATTCGCGCCCTTGACAAATTCCGAGGTTCTTTTTGTTATTGGGGGGGTCTAGGTCCGAGTGACGTATACAAAGGGACTTTTAATCGGCGGCAACTCAAACACTATAAGGAATCAATAGACGCGTCAAAGAGAAAGCTAAAGAACTCAAAGATTTTCAAGTTGAAATCATCGATTTTCAAACTGATAAAGCTATGTGCSATAATTCTGACAATGAGAGTTCGTCTCCATCGTCTTATGAGGACGAATCTGATGATGACAACCTGCAGGACGAACGCGATGAGCAGTACGACACAAACCCGCCGCGCACACAGTCAACCAGCAGTCTTGAAGATGACTTAGATGAAGGCGCCTACCAAGACGAGCCCATCGCAAGCTCCGAGTGGGTTGAAAAGTATAGCAAGAGACAAGAAGAGATAAACGAACTTGAAATGGAGTTAAATAAGCGACTTTCTGGTGAAGTATCAGTCAGTAATTGGTGAGTAGAACGATCGRACGCGTGAGTGACATCGATTGACACAAAGAATTCGGTATCTTGTCTTCCTGGTCTTAAGTATAAATGAATAATTGRTCTTCTATTTCAAGGTGCAAGTGTGGAAATTGCAAAACAAGAACGCTTCAAAATATCAGCGAATGCTACTGTTGTACGGAGCTGGAGTGCGTTAAGTCTCTCACGTCAGATTGGGTGAAGGGGGATTGGGGGGATGCGCAACTTACGTGTGTTATACAACATCCAGGATTTCAGCCAGTTTGTTTGAATAAATGGAGTTGACGAATGGCAGCAGAGCGTTTAAAAACTAAAGAGAAGACAAAATACCGCCAAACGGGATCAGAAGAAAGGTTTGTAGCACATTCCATTACAAAGTAGTCGCTTGTTAGTATCGAGATAGTAGAAAATTAGTGTGAACTTTATACGAGCGCTGTTTATGTCTATTGTATTTATATCTCCTCAATTCATACGAAAGTGGCTCAACATATACGAGTATATAACTTATTATATTTTACTTATAACTGCAATGTAATACAAAGTCAATTCGTTCTACAGATTTTTCAGGAGTGTTGCCTACAGAGAGTTTTCTCGCCTTACTTATGGTTTACCTGGTTCCAAGAGAATACCATTGCCAGCCTGTGCATACACAGCAATTCGTGATAAGTTTCCACTGGGTCCAAATGAAGATTCGCACAAAGGATTTGATTTAGATGAGGATTCATCTTAGTCAGTTTATTATCAAGTTATAGTGGTGATGGAACTAAAAATGCATGTAGCTATTAGCTATGTCGTAGAATTGTTTCTTGTCTTCCAAAGAYAACTATTTATATCTGAGATATAACAATATTTATTATTATTATTATTTACACAAAAGGAAATATGGAATCTCTTGAAATACAATAAATAGTTATATTCAATAGTAATASTTGACTTCAAGTGTCCAACATCTACATATACATATGTAGTGCATCTTGTTACTTTTAGTTACTGTAATCATTATCATACTGACTGGAAACATTGAAGTTTATAACATTTCAGTTCTAACAGCATATACCTGGTGAACAATTGAACCTTACAATTTTCAATCCAATATTACTTGTATATCAAATCCAACTATTTTGACTACATTTTTCACAATTTTATGCATTTGTCACACAATGTTGTCTGACTAGATGTTGACTGCAGGCCAGAAATCTTTTCTATTAGTGTGGTTTCAGCAATATATTCTCAAATTCTGTAAAATAGTTATAGTTGAATAAAAGAATTATTATCCTAAAAAGTGTAAAATAGTAGCTGCTGTTCCATGCATTACATGAGTACTATGGTTTTCAGTCATACAGTACATTGCATTTCTATTGTTTAAACACAGCATTGTCTATAAGCAATATACTGTAGCATACAAGCAATCTTAAAAATTAAAGAAAACATTTAATATAGTAAGTTGGCTAATTCTGTTGTTGGTTTCGCCTGATATTTACAATACAAGTCGTGACATTCTTGTGTCCTTTCATGGGCTGCTTACACTCTGCACGGTGTGGTGCTTTATTTGCTCATTCCAGCTAAGGCGGTCATCAAAAACTATACCAAGATAAGTGAAGTGAAAAAACGCGCTTAATAGCAGTGTTATTTATAGTAACTGAAAATTGATTCACGGCAGATAATCTAGGCGCAGTTCCAAAAAGCATAGCTTCAGTTTTAGATAAGTTAATAAATAGGTTATTATACGAAAGCCAGTKTTYAATATTTAACAGTTCAGCATTCAACTTGTCTTGAATGATAGAGGCTTGAGAGGATGAGCAGAATAGAACAGTATCATCAGCGTACATTAAAATATTGCAATCAGTCACCACTCCAGGTAAGTCATTAATGTGTAGAATAAACAACAGAGGTCCTAGGATAGATCCTTGAGGTACTCCAACAGAGATCACTTCAGGAGTAGAAGTAACGCCTTGAAACTCAACAACTTGGGTGCGGTCTGACAGATAATCCGTAAACCAATCAAGCTCTTTATTCAAAATCCCCAAATTGGAAAGCTTGTCCAGAAGTACAGCATGGTCCACCGTATCAAAAGCTTTGCGAAGGTCAATAAATACAGCGCCAGTTAATTGACCTTGGTCCATATTTCTGCGAATATTATCAGAAAAACTAAGAGCAGCAAATTCTGTAGAGTGACACTTCCGAAACCCACATTGAAAAGGACTCAGGATCTTATTCTGCTGAAGATAATTATGTAGTTGGAAATGTACAGCCCGCTCTAAAACCTTGGATAGAACAGGTAGAATTGAGATCGGGCGATAATTATCCATCTTGTCGACTTTTCCCTTTTTAAAAAGTGGAATGACCCGCGCGGATTTCCAGTCACTGGGAACTTGAGCAGTACGAAGCGAGGTATTGATAATGAACGTCAAGGGCTTAGCTACAAAATCGGCAGAAACTTTTAACAAGCGGGCCGGTATTTGATCCAAGCCTTCAGCCTTCCAAGAATTTAAACTGCGTAATTGAGACAGAACAAAATCCTCAGAGATCTCTTGAAACTTGAATGGTGGGTACTGACGGGCAGGAGTCTTGGGAATGAGTAAATTATGACCACGGAATGATTGTAGGGTGGCCATCAGTCTGCTAGCCGCAGAAGCAAAAAAATTATTAAACGCATTGGCAATGCAATGCTTGTCAGAGGAAACAACACCATTTACTTCAATGTTCGGAGAAGTAGCTTTCTTTTCTCCCGGCAGAATTTTCTTCATTGTCCTCCAAAACGACCTGTGATCACCCTCGCTCTTCTCAATGAGCCGTTTATTGTAAGAAGCTTTAGCAGATCTTATTTCTTTTGTCACACGATTGCGAAATTGGCGGTAGTTAGCCCAGTCTTCCGAAGTGTTACTTTTATTTGCTTTTTTATGAAAGTAATCACGCTGACGCATAGTCTCCTTTATGTTCTTGTTTAGCCAAGGACAATTGTCGATGCCGCGTACACGACGTTGCACCAGTGGAGCATGGCAATCAGCAATCGTGACAAATTTCCGCTTGAACTCACGCCAAAGTTCATCAACACTGCGGGCAGGTCCATTGGGACCAGAGACAAAGTTCCAGTTAACACCTTTCAAGTCCTTACGAAAAGCATCTTCATCGAAATGCGCATAATTTCTGAAGGTCTTGATTTGAGACGGTGCTCTTTTCCAGTTTAATTTCCGAACGCAATAAACCAACTCATGATCACTTAAATGCGCAGAAATTACTCCAGACTCACACACATTTTGCGGGTAGTTAACAGCAACTAAGTCAATTAGTGACTTCGAATTTTTAGTAATCCTTGTAGGTTGGTCAATAAGTTGCTTGATATTTAGACTTCTAAAGATCGATTTAAGGTGTTTACAATCAGAGTTGTTGCGGTGACTAGACATAAAACAACAATTAAAGTCACCGAAAAGGAGCATCTCTTTACCCTCCGCAGAAGCAGTGTCTAATATACCGTTTAGCTTAACCATGAAGTCCTT